AGGACAGTTATTCAAAACAACTTTTTACAATCATAAAGCAGATGTTTATGATAAATTATAAGCATGTTTTCCAATCTTCTGCATCAGTATGACAGAAGTTTTAATACTGAAGATCTGTACAAGAAATAAAAAAAAACATAATTTCTCACATCAAAAAGTAAACACAGACCAAAAGCTCACTGAAGCAGTGACTTGTCTTTTAAGTACCGATTAACAGTACATAATTTTCCACTTTACTCCTGGCTAAGACCTCTTCATTTGTATGGCAGTAAAAGTACCAGAAAAAAAATAGAGAATTCAACCTAACCAAACATTACCCAACAACTATTTTGAAGAAATAATCTGAAACATTTCCATAATTATAAAATTACATGCTTCACTCTGAAAAACCTAAACAAAAAAAAAGTAAAATAAAAAGCCACATTATGGCTGAAGCTTCTGGGTTTCATTCAGTATCTGAAAAAAAATTAAGCTGTTTGTTCAGGGTATCCCTTATAGAAGCTATTAACAGATTTCTTTTGACCTTCATGCAGCATAAAAATTAGAATTCCAGTTTTAGCTATGGTTTAGTCGTGATTATTAATACATTTTTGTAATAAAATCTTGGAAGAGCCTTAAGAAAAAGCCTACTTTGTGGAATCTGCCTGACTGCACAGAACGTACACATTTTGCCCTTCCATAATGTACTGCAATACTACTTACATTTTGCTACCCATGCATAGTCTAACAGTCACAATAGGTTAGATGCAACTGCACCAGACGAGAGAACACATTGTAGTTTCAAGGTCATACAGATGTATGAATCTTAAAAACAGATAGCAATATTTATACAAGTCATAGAAGATCACATTAGCTACACATCTGTCTCCCTAATATTAAGAACAAGTAATAAATTCTTTTATAATTGTTTGACTTGGGGAGATTGCTTACACATGCAGTTGAAAGTACCACTTCCCTTTATAAAATTATACCTAGATGAACAGATGACATGCTTTTTAAAATTTCGAATTCTAGCCCTAACAATTAAGAACACAAACAACAAAATTACAGGAGCATTTACTAAAACCAGGAAAAGCACCAGGTCGCTTTTGTTTAGTATATTCAAAGAGCACCACAGCCCTCTAGTGGAAAAGTTAGAAAATACGACTTCATTCGCCCAAGCATGCTAGGAGAGTATTTTCACTTTAACCTGACATTGAAACCTCTAAAACAGAAACACAACGATCACACAGAATTGCACACTATCTTCCGCTCCTCATAGTGGACTAAGTCTTTCTGACTTGAAGCTAACAAATTGACAATTTACACTACACATGTTTAAACACAGAAGAATGAGTTTTTAAAACCACAAGGATTGACACAATACAACTGCAGTTAAGTCTGTCTTGCTTCTTTTTACTTGCTGCTTTACTGTGCACGAGAGTTACCTCAACTTCTAATGTGATTCTCAGACTAGACTTTTGATTGAGCTTTAAAAAATAGATGAGAAAAAGATCCAAAGAACAGCTGGACTGCATTGTCAGAAGAAAAAGCTTCCAAAGGAAAAAAAAAAAATCATTTTATGAATTATTCTTGATCTGCTATGCTCTCTTTACATTTTAAGAACATTAACCTTTGCCATGTTGCTAATGAAAACTAATGAAGTGTTTATAAACACGGGGTTTTTTTAGTACTTAACTTTCCTCACACACATGCTTTTTGCAGCAGTTTTAAGGACTGAGTTAAGAAAGTGGGTATATAATCTAAGAGATTCTTGCAGTTCACATTCCTAATCAAAAATGAAAAAAAACAAACACCGCATGGCAGACAGTCTCCACATTCTACAGAGATGTTAAGAGACATTAATGGCAATGAAGTTAACAATGGAGAGGCCAGTAGGTGTGATACCACCAGAACTCTTATCACTGCTGAAGTCATTCAAAGTATTGCCTCTGAAATTAAGCAAGCACCTCTATTTTTCAGAAGTTGAGATTTTTCAACTGGCAAGATATGCTGGATTTCCCGTATTAGATTCACAAATGAAGTAAATTAACGTATCATTCCATCTTCGTTGATCTGGTTTTAACTTTCCTATCTTCAAGCAGTATACATAGATGACTTGAAAAAAAAAAAACCCACAACAAAACAAAGCAAAACTATGTTCATCCATCTTTCAAGGGATTCTCAGCATTTTCCAAACTTTAACTTCAACTTTTCTGCATTTTGATAGACCACAGTCTACCAACTTACACCTTGATCTTTGCCCTTCCCATCTCAAAATGAAAAATCTGTCAACAAACAAACAAACAAAAAAAAAAAGGATAAAAAAAAATCTATACCATAAAGTTAGTTTCAAGTATGTTATTCAAACCAATTTTGACAACCATTAAACCATTAAAGGGTTGGGTAATTATTTTTCTTACATTATTAAGCACAAATGCTCAACAAGTAATACTTTATTTTTTGATCACTTTCTACTTACTGGACAGCAGTATTTCCTGGGAAATATTTACATGTGATTCCTGAAGAAAGCATGTTAAGTTTTCTGAAAACACAGTAATTCTTTACCTCTCAAAATACTCAGGGAAGGACTTATTAGCTCAAAAATACACAGATTGATTAAAAGGACTATCAACTACACAAAGTGGATCACTCCTAAAATAACTGGGGAATAAGCTTCTAACTGGTAGGACTCCACCTAGGCTAGCTAATTAGTATTTCCACAGTGTCCCAAAGAATTGTGTAAGCATATTAAAGTTCACAGGGATCTCTACATCGCAATCCATTACATGACACTGACATGCTCAAAGCAGTTTGCCAAGAGTCACAAAGCACGGTTAAGAAAGCTAAGCCTGATACATTTTAAGGACTCAAGACAACAGAGCTCCAAGAGAACCTGAAATTCTGCCAATTAATGGGACAAGAAGACTATTAGCCAACCCCAAAGAGGAAGTATTCCCTTCACACAACACCAAGGAATCTGAACCTTGTTTTTCTCCATCAAACATGTCAATCAAAAGTCACAACTGGCACCAGCTCAGTTCGTATTATATCCTCTGTCAGAAACCCTTTGAGATAGGACAGAAAAGGGCATAGCATTTATCAGAAACATAAACCCTACGACTGCCTTAATTCACACTCCATGGCAACTAGTATCAGACACAAAGCCTGGGACTATAGGCAATAACACCTTCATCATGTATTTACTACATCATCTTTATCGTTTTGGATTCCTTATGCCTTAACCTCATACAGCAGCACAAGCCCAAGTTCTATTTCACTAATGCTCCCACTCTTCTTAGCGTGCTTCTGACCGTAAGTGATATCGTGCTCTCACCTACTAACAGAAATCAAGAAAGTATATATGTGCATGTATACATATATCTGTGCATACATGTCACAAGCAAAAATTATCTGGTGCAAGGACATTGCTTTCTCACTTATGATGAATTCAGATTATAAACTAAGGGAAAAACAGGGGGAGGGGGAAATCTTGAAAAAAGAATTATACATCTTGGAATAATCTTTTGCCATTTATGAAACACTTTCAGCTCACTCAGCAAGTCTGAATGGCAGCCTTCTCCTGCTGAAGGCAAATCACTTGAGTCCAGGTAATTCTTATGTGTGCTGAGACTACACAGTTGCATACAAAGCAAATTGTCCTGCTGGATGTAATGTAAAGACATCCTGTATCAAGAATCTGGAACGTGCACCTTACTAGAAAACAAATTCCTCATTGAGACAGGTAAGTACAACAGTTGCTGCCCTAACTGTAACACCAATCTGTAGTAGCATATCATGCAATGACAGCAGGCTGCATGCTTTTAATGCCTAAATACCAAGCCACAATAAAGCTCTAAGTTTTTTATCTGACTCCTGTGGGATAACACTCCCTAAAATATTTCAGAGGGAAAGACCAAGAGGATTTGGAGTGGCAAGTCCTGCTATTAACCCCTTTTCCAGAATGTCTCCAAGGTTTTGCTATGTCCTTATAAATGCACTTAAGTCAAGATCCGGCACTAAAAAGACCCCAAATATTTTGCAAAAGGACTTGTTCAATATTGATATAATCTTATCACAAAGAAAAACCCAAAGCACAAAAGGGAACACAAGAATAACAGTTACCTAAGATTTAGGTAGATCCCTTCATTAAAAAAAAAAAGATCAAATCTAACACCAAACCACACCAGTGTTCTGATATTTGTGGCTCCTCCACAAATCTAAGCCACAGAAAAAGACCTATCCTGTGCAGATTGCTGACTGAAACTTCAAACAGCCTAGAAAATTAAGTTGGAGAAGAAATCCTGCCTTCTGAGAAGAAAGGTGGAGCCCATAAACACCAAAGCTTTGCTATAAAGCATAAGAAAAGCAGCTAATTAGAATTTCTCACCCACTATAGAAGTAATACTATGTAACAGATACCTAAACAAGCTGAGTATCTGAAAAGATTTGTGGACACACTGGAAAATACAACTAAGGGGGATTTCAAAAGGTCATAAACAAATGTTTTTGCTCTGAAAGAGCACTGACACAAGTTCATCAGCAAGTTGACCTGGAAATACTTTCAGAGATAAAAATTCTATGGTCTCCTTGGAAAATCTCTTACCTGAGTTTACTTCCTGGCATTAAAAAGTTTTTTATGAACACTTTATCTAAATTCCCGTACAACCATTCAAATTTACTCCTTGTCCTAGACACCGAGGCCATAAAAAGAAACTTCCTGTCCCTTTCACAGGCATCCTCTATATATTTAGGTAATGTAAAATGCCTCCATCAATACTTGTCTAGATAAGAATCAATCATTTCAGAACCTGAGGTCTTCCCTGCAGCTCTCCTCGAAGCTCCAAATTCTCCACACTTTCTTAAAAAGCAGTACACAAACCTGAATGTAGCTTTCTAACTATATGTTTCATATGGAAATTATGCAAACTAAGTTTGAACACCAAAAGTACACAGCTATTTAAACAAAGTAGCCAGAATGATAAAGATGGCTATATTTACCTTATGTAATCTTAACCTACCTATTCCTGAATTTGCTCCTGTGATTATAACCACTTTGCCACTCAAATCACGCCCCTGGAGTATTTCCATTGCAGTGCTGTTTCCATCATATTTTTGTCTAGTAGTAGGTTTTACTGGATTATCCTCAACTGTAAAGGCCAATCTTGGGTCAAGGTAGGTAGTCCGTTTGTTTATGTGGCTGCAAAAGAACATAAAAATTCAACTGCTTGGACTCTTCTGTACTCTGCACTGAGATTTTAAATGTATTTCAACCACTGATCAGTACAATCCCAGTGGATTTCTTAAATTCCCCAAAATCCTTTTGTTAAAATGATCCCAGTTGTTTTCTTTATCATCAAACATTCTCCCAGTTACAACAGCGTCCATTAATAACTGTATTCACATACTTCACAATGCTGTTCTGAACTTCATATGAACCCATGACACAGAAAGCAGAATTCTGTCAAGGGAAAAATCTCATTATATTGGGGAAGATCATGTTCTCTTAGGAGCTCTGTAAAAGGGGCCTACACTACTCCCTTGAAACAATATACCAATGAGAAATTTAGTTTAGTACTTCTTCCTCAAGCAAACAAAACCAAATAGCTTCATATCAGCTTAGCAAATGGCACAATTTAGGTCAGGCTTACCTTTCTAAAACAGAGTTTTTGTTTTTCTTCAGACAATTATCAGGAAAAGCACTAAGCCACAACTTTCAGCCCTTAATTATAGTACAGAGAGGCTATACTTACTATTTTAGCCTGTGACTATTCTTCATTCTGCCAAGCCAGTTTAAGATAACTACCCCATTTTGACCCTATCATTGAAAAGATACAGAAGGAAACATTCCCAGAATTCTCTTTCTTCTTCTGTGACCATTCCTTTCCAAACACCTTTGCTAGCTCAATCCCTGTCTTCCTTTCCATGGTTTACATTGCAAGTGAGTCATAGTTGCAGCAATTTTCATCTTGTATTTTAAAGCACTACCACAATGTTAATAATCAGCCATGAAGTTCTAGATATGTTTTTAAAGTTAGCACAGAGTTTATCCATAAAGGTATACAAACAAAATGACCCCAAATAAACAGCTCACATTTTGAGATGTGGATACCCAAGTCACTTCACTCCAGCCCCCACATTAGTAATTCTATGCACATGAGAAAATTCAGAATACAAATGAGAGTTTAGACACTGCTACAACTGTAATTTCTGCATATGGATTATGAAATTATATTTATCAATTTCTTTGTCTTTCCAGCTGATAGTCAGTGATAACTCAAAAAGGCTACCCAACACTAAACACAGTTGTGCTACTTGTCCACGTTCTACATTTTGACATACTTACTCTACAAAATAGACTTGTCCATTTTCATCAGTTTCCTGCTCCCATCCGTATGGCAGACCTAGGAAGCATAAAATATTAACTTTTTTCAGGCATTAAAAGTATATTCTGATTTGAAGTGATTTCTCAGACAGATGTGGCAAAATTCTGCATTATTTCTGTAGGCAATGCAATGACCTGCTGCACTTGAATATTGTCACTCAAAAGAAGGATTGCTTCCCTAATCACGCACAATCGCTCTCTAATAAAAGTACAACATACAGGAGGTCTGGTACAACTGTAATAACTAGAATATGAAGTACAGAGATAATCTAAAACTTATTTATAAAGATTATGCCATGTTACAGCACAAACCAGCAAAATGTAAGCTTGCTTCCTACTACATACACATGTCTATACTGCATACAGTTTAGCTATCCCTGAAAGTAAATTGCAAAAACACTGAACTAAGTGTAGAAAAAGTTATGTGTAACACATACCAGTAGTTGGAAGATCAGAACTCTCAAGTGGGTATGGGATATGTTAAATCGAACCTAAATGATTCTATGAGTCTATGAAGTTGGAAGGACAGATAAAAGAAAAAAAAAATGACAAATCTTTACAAAATAAATTCTTATATAAAAGACCTTACAGAAGTACTTAACAAATAACATTCCCAGTATTTCTGATCGGGGCTGAAGAGTATTCATTTACAATTTAAATGGCTCAAAATCTACTGAAAACATTCCAGTTATAGTCACATTGCCAATGCCAAAAGAAGTATGGCTTGCCAACAGTACAGTACACCTACATAAGACATCTAAATGTTTCTGGGAAGATCTAATTTAAGGCGCGGATCCAAGGTCCTTAAGAAGTCATTTACCTTCGGAAGTGTCCTGCAACACTGACTGTCTTCTGATCTGCCACAAGCTTTCAGGTGAGTTAGGGAAAATAAAATTAAACTAATGTAACTTTCCTCTGTGCCAGAAATATTCTTTGACTTATATAATCCAAATATAAATATTACCTGATGGACAGCAGGAAATCAGAATGCAATCAGAGAATCCCAGCCTCAAATAATCAATGCTTTACAAGCCACAGTAAAACAATCCTGGAATTAGTATTTTGGCTTTATGGGGCAATACAAGAAAGCCATAAAACTGCAAAACAATCACTCTACACAGACATTATCACATAGGTAAAACTTCACTGAAGTAATTTTGCTGTATTTCACAAGCTCAGTTTGCCTAGGTGATTAGTACCAACTAGAAGACCAGAATGACATCTACTTCCTGCACAAACTCCAACTGATGTTTGTAACATAATTTCATTTTACAAAACCTTAACACAAACCTCCTGCAACACGTTTCCTCTTCCCAGATTTAGGGTGCTCCCATTGTGTCTTTTCTTCCAGATGGCTGTAGGAAAAGCGAAGTTTAAGATATTAAAAAACTGCCTAATAATTCTTCTGATATATTACAAAGGTTTTCTTTTCATACAGTGAAGAGTAACAATTTTTTTTTTTTATATTTGGCTTGTCTGACACAAAAAAAAAAGAAACATGACAATCGCTCGTTTAAGAAAGGTCAAAACTGAAGTTAGAAGGCTTCCATATTGCCACAGTTCTGAAAATAACTAACAAGAGAGCATAGGAGCCTATAAAAATTCAAATAACCGTCTGACTTCCAATATAAGTTTTGTTGCTTGATAAAAAAGAGTCATTCAAGAATAGCATCAACAAAGAATAAATAACATCAACAGACTCAGAAAGTTTCTCAAACAGATGGTGATCCTTGCCAGGAAAAAGGAAGAAAAAAGCGGAAAAAAAAAAAAAAAAAGAAAAAATTTATCAGAAATTAGTAGAAATCTCAGAAATTTTTCAAATCACAAAAGCACCTTTTTACGACTTTTGTCTAATAATACTGAATTGTAAGCTATGAAGTAAATAAGTCTGGATTTTTACATGAACAACTGCAGCTTTAGACAAACAAGTTTATCCAAAGGCCTTGACTATTTATTTAAAATGAGCAATAATGGCATAATCTCTTATAATTCTGAGATTTTATTCACTTACATCTCTCTAAGAGAATTAATACACTCTATCCTAAGGTTTTCTGCACTAAAGGCTAATAAAATGATGTACACATAAACAAAGTCTTAAAATACTCAAAGTGCTGAAATCAGGTTGGATATTATCTTTTATTAAATATTTTAAAATAATAGCCAAAAATCAGGGATTACTTGAGAAAGTGTTCAAATTAACAGCTGCCTAAGTATGAAATACATAGTGGCATTACTGAATAGCTACAGATATAGTACCAACAATTTGCACACAACATAAGCAAATTTTCTTTCTTACAATAGCCACATAGTTAGCCCACAATGACAGTACACTGTATTACAAGAATCAGCTGATGGGCTGAGATCAAATAAGTGCATATGTGTGACCTGCAGTGGCACCTGAACTTCAGGACACTCATATGCTAAAGACACAAGATCCTAAGTTACTCCTGTCTGATGAGAGATACCAAACTACCATAGCTTGACAAATGCACTCCCAGCCACTTTCATTACTTGACTGTGTGCACACTTCACTCAAAGACCTCAAAAAGTCTTAAACCAAAGTAACCCTATTCCAGCTAGGTTTAAAGTTCATATTGTTGATAAGAATTTTTTAAAAGTATCCAGAATATGCAGAGGTATCAAAGATATAGAGCTCATTTTAAAGGTAGCAGCAGCATAACACCTCTTTGTGTCAAGTATTTTTTGGACACACTGGGCAAGACTGTCAGGCAGTAAACATATTAATGCCATGTCACTAAATTGAGTAAGTTTCGTAACAGTTAAAAAACAGGCCTATTGAACTAATTGCTTCTGTAAAAATTACTCTCAGTAGCATTATTTTGTAGGTTTGTTACTTTCAACAAGTGATTGTTTTCTGAAAGAACTTTTGAAGTCAAGCAAATATAGAGAAGTTTGACCTGAGGAAAATGAAACCCTAGAGAGTATCTGTAGCGTTTACAAAGTTCAGAATAAAACATTTTGTCCAGTGCTAGCAAAGCAGAACTTGGAAGGAAGATGCCAACCCACCACAGGTGAGAATGCACCACACTTTTCCCCCTTTTTGTGGGATGGAATAAATCCTGCAATTTTTAAGAGACTGAAACAAATTTCAAGAGCAGCATGGCTAAGGAAACCACAAGAGAGAAGAATATATATAGATATATATAGATATATATATACATCACTAATTTAGTCAGCCCTATCGTCCATTCCCTTCTGTAATCACTGGGAACACGGTCATTTTCAGACTGGCACGAGTACATGGTGCTAAATACAAATTTTTATCTCTTGTCAAAAGTGTGGTATACTGAAGAGCTGGAGGGGAGCATATATAGCTTTTAACTTCCACCATACCTTTCTCTCCTCTATTCCTACAAGGAGGAAAAACTCAGCAAGCTACACTATTGTGCAAGTCTCAACCACTCATATGTATAAAAAATCACCTATCAGGGACTGTAGTGATAGGACAAGGAGGAATGGGTTTAAACTTAAACAGGGGAAGTTCACGTAGATATAAGTTCTTCACTGTGAGGGTGGTGAGGCACTGGAATGGGTTGCCCCAGGAAGCTGTGAATGCCCCATTCCTGGCAGTGTTCAAGGCCAGGTTGGATGGAGTCTTGGGCAACATGGTCTAGTGTGAGGCGTCCCCGCCCGTGGCAAGGAGTTGGAAATAGATGAACTTCAGGTCCTTTTCAACCCAAACCACTCTATGATTACCCACGGAGCCACTCAGCGAAGTGCAACAGCAGCAGACGCGTGACAGCTCTCTGCTGCACCCAGGAGGGGCCAGAGCCGCTTCAGCAGTGCTCCCAACACGAGGATGGGGAGCTGTGGCTCTGTCCAGCGGCGGTCAGCACGGCACACACCCGCCTGTCCGCTCCCCTCAGCTCCTCCGGCGGGCACCCGTGGGGCTCGGCCCGGGACGACGGCGCTGGGAGAGCCCAGCCCACACTCAGCGCTCCCCGCAGCCAGGAGTGACCGGAGTACGCGGAAACCGAGTCACACAGAGACCGGTCCCGCCACCCAGCCCTGGCCCTGCCTCAGCCCCAGCTCGCCGCGGTGGTACAGTGCGGGAAATGACGGCTCCTGCCCCTCCAGCCCCCCACGCTGAGGGCGCAGCAGCGGCGGCTGCACGGATGCTGCTCCAGGGGGAAGGCGCGGGCGGTCAGGGGCTGAGGCCGGCTCGACCCGCTCCCTTACTTGGCGTAATAGACCCAACCGTCGCGGGTGGTGCGCTCCTCCCAGCCCGGCGGCAACTCCTCCTCGCTGTCGGTGTCCTCCAACCCCGCGTACTTCAGCGCCGCCATTGGGACGGGTGCCCCCCGCAGACCCGCACCGCCCCGCGGCCTTCTGCCGTACCGCCCCTTCCTGTCGGCCCAGCCAATGGTGCAGCGCGGTGGCCCCGGGGCACCATGGGAAGTGTAGTACCTAGGGGACCTGAGGCCGTGGGCTCAGGCTAGGGCCGCCGCGGGGTTTACCTGTATCTTTGAGGTTTTAACCTCTAATGAGCGCAGGGCTGTGTCGATATCGTCACGAGTGGCACAAGAATCTCAGGCTTTGGGGTATTACATGTTGCCAGCATCTATGAATACCATGAGGCCCTGAAAGTGATGAGAAATTAACTGTTCTTTAAGAAATTAAATTGTCACCTCCTGTTCTCTGGGATGAGATTTTCCTCCATAGGCATGTCAGACAGAGCTCCTCCTTGTTTACTTTGCTGATTGAGGAAAGGCATGACTAGGAAGAGCTACCTCACATTGGTGGGAGGCTGCAGGCTGCCTCACCTGCCCCTGGCAGAACCTGTGTCATCTGGACACATAAACACAGCCAGATACAAAGACTGAGGTGTCCCAGGTCTGTAAGCTGCCAGTAACCTGTACTAACTCCTGTCCTGGCCGCTGAAGCCCGGTCAGCCCACTGTGCAACTGTGACAGATGAAGTACCTTTTGTGTTACCATCACTCATCTGACAAGGCATACACCGGACCTACCTCAGTGATTTTGGTTACGTATCTGTTTGCTAAACATACTCGTATTTACGTATATGACCAAACCGGCTGTCGGCATTTGTGATAGATAGCATCTTCCCATCGTAGTGCTTTTGCAGGCCTTTTAAGCTGTGCTGGACAAAGCCTGTAATCATTGAGTACTACACCAGGTGGCAGTGCAAGCCCACGAATGCAGTAGAGTGCTGCGACTCCTCTGGGTAAACTTTTCGCGCGCTGAGACGCTGACCTGTACGGCTCAGTCACTCACTACTAATGGCATGCATATCCGTCCCTGGAAAAAGCAGCCTGTGCTTTATTCTGCCTTGCTGCTCCCATCCCTCTTGCATGTTCCCCTGAGGAATTACACCTATTAAATTATCTCCTTCTAGAAATAAAACCTCATGCATCATCAGGAGCCAGTTTTCAAGGGAGTATTTAAAAAAGGCTGTGACCATACTCTCTAGGGTAAGCATATGGTATAGGAAATTTTAGTGACACGTTCATTTCTAGTCCAGGGAGCTGATGGAATACTCCGTAATTGACCAAGTGGAGAGATGTGTCAGGTCTCAATAAAATAAATTGATTAAGTCGATATTTGAAGTGCAGAAAAGGAATATTTATCCAGCAGTAATACTGTAGGTGAAGGTAGTTGTTAGTTATCTTCCTGTTGCAGTCTGTTAGTATTCAGCCTCCCGCATCCGTGACTTGCGTTTAGTGGGAATGTGGAAATCATTTGTCTGACAGTTACACTGTCCCAACCATCTGTATTTCATGAAGGATGCATTATGTCCTAAATGTAAACAGCAGCATTACTGTATTTCAGTGCTAAGGGTATACAGTGCACTTCAGAAACAAAAAACAGAATCTTAAAATGCGATATATGTGTCTATATACCCATTAGGTAGAGTCACTGCCTGCCACCTACAAATATTTATGGAATAAAAAGTAACAGCCTTGTTCTACAAAACAACATGGATATTAACAGCCTTCAAGTCCTTGGTACTAGAGTAATGTGGAACCACACATACTATAGGTTTATATGGTTTTCAATGCAATTTTAGTTTTTGCAAAAATATTTAAGAAACCCCACACTTCCCTCTGAAAATTCATATTCAACAGAGATTCTAACAACTATGATCTATAGTTTCACAAATATTTCTTCCCCTCTACTTTTAACCACTTCCTTCTTTTCAAGGAGGGGAGGAGGGAAAGAAGTCCCAACTTTTGACAATTTGGTGACTTCTGCTTTTTACTTAATTATTTCAAAGAATGTTAAAAGTCAACCATGTATTTCAATTTTAAATGTAAGACTTACTCTCTTTCAGAGGTCAGGTAAATCTTTACCCATCTTTTCAAGTTTTTACATCAATTATCTATGTATCTCATCTACTTAATCCAGATAAAGAAACTTCATGTGGACAAATGAGGCTAAGGTATGATTTCAGTGAGGGTCTACACAAGTTCAGGTTTCTGTCCAGTTGTACTAAATTGCAGAACTAGTTCTGTTAGGCTTCTTAAATGGCAGAAAGCAATGGCCATGATTTCTGCAAGAGCACAACTGTAACTTTAGGAGAGGAGACAGAGGCCTGTAACAGTTTTGCCACAAATTAAGGCACTGTTTTCAGATACTAAAATTATAGGATTAATACAGACTTCCTTCTTATAATTTCTTCCCCATCAGCTCTCTGTTAGGAAAGCAAGAAGTTATATATAAACTGAGTGTATGCATTTACCTTTAAGGTATATGGTATGTGTATTTTTCTGTCTGTTTGTGTAGCTTTGCTTGAGGTTCAAGTGGGTCTTTTGGTAATAGCTGTTGTGTAAAGTTACTATTTTATTGCTCTATAGAAAAGGAATGGATCTCTGTATTATTTCAGGGATCTCAGTCATCATGTTCATTCAGGCAGGGTAGTAAATAATCCATTCTGCTTAAAATTTTCTGTCACTTCCTTTCAGAGTTGCTTTTTGGCAAATAGTGTTTAAAAGATATAATTCCAATCCTTTGCTGCAGCAATCCTGTAAATTAATTCTTCTGATGGTTCTAAGCCTCAGAGAGCAAGATTAATTCCACAGCTGCCAGCAAGTGGATAAATTGAAATGAGAAGATGTTTAGAAATGGTTGTTGATTTCACAATAACATAAATGTCAATTAGAGTCCAAATCTCATTTTTTGTTAACTATACTTTAAACCACCAAAATCAAATGTATTTGTTTAGCTTCTCCATGAGAAACATTGACAAATTTGGACATATGATTATACTGGCAAGCCTAGAGGCATCAAAACCTTAACATTCCTTTAACATTAGTCACAGGCTTATATGCTTTGCTGAATCATGGCCATTGTCTGTCAACAATCCCAGTACTGGTTTACCTGACAAGAATTCAGGCACTAACAATTACGTAACAAGAGAAAAATAATTGCGACATTGCAAAAGCATCCAGATGACACAGCAAAAGGTTGATTTGACCTTTTAATAGAGTATGGGTCTATTTGTTATAAATCATGATTCAGGAATATGGCAAAAATCTGATCAGCCCTCAGTTCGTAATTTTTCAGCAACTTCCAAAACATGTGTGCATAGACTACAGCTGATTCTTTTCAGGTGAAAATTCTGCCTCCGTAACTCATGCCTTTATTACCTCAGCATTAGATGAAAGCAGTGTAGTCTTATAAGGCTATGATTTTAATCCACTGGGACATGATAAATGAATATTTGAGCTACTGCCTAGTGTGAATGTGCCATATCCTTCAAGTGAACAAATTAATACCTTTTTTTTTTTTTTTTTTTGGTGGAGTTAGACTCAGCTTTCCATTAAAATGTTTACAAGGTCACTTCTGACTTTCTTTCAACTTATAAAAGCAGTTTAAACTCTTTAAATCCCTTATTTTTTTACCCAAGTTTATTTTTAGAAATATCTAGAATTTTACCCTCCTTCCTTATATGTAATAACATCATTTTTAACACACTTGCAGAGTTAATTGGATTCAAATAAGCCTTGTTGATGATCTTCTTGTTTCCTCTGAAAGCAACATAAAGAACATCTGGCATATGGAATCTATCTATTAAACCTCTGTAGCAACTGCAGAATTGGAATCCCACTCATAAATGTTTGTGTCTTTTTTTTTTTTTAATTGTTATATTTCCAAAGAAAACAACATAATAACAAGATGCAAAAAAAACCCTGTGGAATAGAACTGTGCCTTGAAGCAACCTCAGATAGGCCATATTTGAATATTGTAAAGTCTACATTTAATATTTAATTTAATATTTATTTGTAGAAATTAACCTGTAGGGTGATACTAGATATCCTTACCTTCAAATTCTGATATGTTATTAATAAAAATATTGAACTTGTTCAACACGATTAAAAAACTAATGGTAGGAAGTTACATTTAAGGTCTTTGGTAAAAATGCCAAGAAGGGCAAGAGTTTGCCTTTTTGTTCATCATTCACGAAAGAACTTTCTGTCACTCTCCAGACGCAAACCTTAACCACTGCAGAATAATAAAAGTCAAATAGTGAAAAAGATAAGGCAGAGTTCAGCCAAACTTTTAGCCCGTGTATGTGTTTTTTCAGGAACTCATAAGTTTTTGCCTTATGGACTGATAATTTTTCATGCTGCTTGTTTCTGCCTAAGCTTTGAGTTCCCTTAGCTTTGATTGCTCTGATTCCACCAGTAGTGACACTGACAAGGCAAAACACACTGATACTAAAGCATTTCCTTTCTTGCATGTTGCATGATCTTTTATTTCCCCATATATTCATATGTACATTAGTATGTAAAAAAGCCTGCAAGATAAATTTGAAACTTAACAATGTCAAAATTCACCATTCTGCCACCTTCCTCTGCAATGACATTGATCCCGTCATTGATCGCAGTTATAAACCTCCTGTGAGATACCATATCTCAGTTAGTCTCTTACACTGGATGTGACACAGTCAGTTCATCTACCCTGGATTCTATATCCCTCTTGGAGGCATTGAAAGATTGATGGAATATTTTTTATAAGCTGGTTTAAAAAAAATAAAAATGAACAAACAATAGTCAAGCCTCCCTAGGGACAAAACCCATATTTGAACATACAGAGAAGTATTTACTCACACTTACTAAGTAATTATTCTTCTGCCAGGCTGCAAAATTGGACACTGATAAGCTAGGGAGAAAAAAAAGGAAGTGGAAGTCAGCTATCTAAACTCCTTTAAACATTTGGCTTTAATTGCTTTGCACAAACAAGAAAGTGATTAGTGGGAAAACAGATTAATGGTAGAGTTCTTATACCTCAGTGCAATGAATACTTTAATCCGCTCTTGATTTTGCACTCTCTCTGAATTGATGGATACTACTCACATATCTGAGGTTAAAAACAGTAATGTTCGCA